CTTGTTTAATGCTTAAATCTACACATGAGCTCATTTTGTGCAATTTTCTCTCATTATAATCAGCTCTGCAGACGTGGGAGAAATGGCAGCGCTGCAGTGTCCCCTGGGAAATGTGATATCAGCTAAATGATGCAGGGAATGTAAACTGTATATAATTACTTTAACCCCCACCACTGACAGGGAAACTGATTGTACAACTTAAAAGACTTCAAGTGTATACAGAAGGAGAACACAAGCAGAGCAGAAAATCCTGGTCCAAAACCATGTTCCAAAGGTCTAAACATGAATACACTTCACCCTGTTTTACCTCCTTGTCTTGTCGCTGTTGTTTCTCACGCCATCACCTGCGTGAGAATCACAAACATCAGTTGAAATGAATAATTCAGCACCTGTAGAAGACCAGATTAGTGCTGTGATTTGCAGCACCTGTGGCTGCTCCTGTTCAGTAAAGGGTGAAAGTACTTATTTAGTACTGAAGCACATGGGGATGATGGTGCTTCCCTGCTGCCTTTGTTGGGCCCCTGGGGAGAGGATTTGGACAACACTGCGCAGTGATTCGTCAGCTTGTGTCTTGGCGAACACATGTAAGATGTTTTGGCAAGAGGAGTGGTGGAAGAAGTGCTCAGAATGGCAGTGAAGATTCATTTTTATCATTCAGGTGGTACGGTGGATGAATCTGAAATCAAAATGTCATTTAAATGAACTACTACTCATTGTAGCATTAGTTTTGCTGCTTGGATTTACATTTGTTTCTTTCTTTATCAGAGAGAATAACTGTTCGGGAAATTACACGCAAGAAAGGTCTCTGGTCAGACTGTTAAACCCTCAGACCACCGGGATGCTCTGCTTCCAGATCAGTGGAAGAAGGATAAGATAAGAAGGAAGGAAAATAAGAAAGACAGAGAGTCTCTCTGAGGCCAAAACTTATAGCCGCAGTGGTGCTTGGAGCTAAATTCTTAAAACATAAAACCACAAATGTCACCTCATGGCGATGGTAAAGAAAAAGTCAGGGAATGACCGGCCACAGGGAGTTCCTGTGCGTCATCCCATCTCTCTCCCTGCCTTTTCTGGAGGTCTATCCTATCAAAGGAAGGCAAAGCCCCCAAAACAGATTTACAGACATTTTTTAAGAACTTATCTGAATATTTTTGAATGTAAAATCTGATATTGTCCACACCTAGAGAGCAAAAAGCACACCAGACCTGCTGAGTGTGGGTTTTTTATTACAATAGCACCGTGCTGCAGAAGGAACTGCTTTGTGTTTACTTACTGTAGAGGACAAATGTGACCTCAGAGCAGCTGGGTCATGACACGAGCTATTCCTGCTTCCACCCCCCCCGACACCCAGCCTCCAATCACATACCCCAACCCAGACTGACCACTCAACACTCTGTACCAACAATGCAAACAATGCCTTTACAGTCTCTGATACAGTAACAGACTAAATCCCCAAATCCTGGCAGAGTCAGACACACCTAAGGACTGTAACAATGCTCGTGAAAGAAGCTAAAGGTGAGAGTAGCATGAAAGTCTTAAAAGCTACAAAGGTAAAATACTGATGGCTAACACAAGGTTTTTGATTTTTGTTGTTTGGTTCTCCTCTTTTTAGCACATTTACACAAATATCTGTGATACACATTAAACTCTCAAACTGTGTCCCACCAATCCATCCAGTGTCAACAGATATAGATTTTCTTGCTAAATCTAGTTTGTCTGTCAGGTTGCTTAAAATAGGAGTAAAAAATCAGACTATGTTTCGTCAGTCTGTCTTCGTCCAAAGGAAACATGAGACGGGTTTTGACCATTTTAGTCCAGTAGTTAGTTACACAACTCCAAGTTTACTTTGCAGAAGCAACTCTTTTGTGTTTAAAGACCCTGAAATCTGAAGTATTTCTCTATAATGCAGATAAGTAACAAGCAAAGTTCAAGCTCATAAATAAAAATCTTTGGAATTGTTTATTAAGAGTTTATTAACAGTCACAAACTGCTTTATTGGGACTGTGTGGTTGCGGTTTGGTCAGTTTTGATTGACAGTCCTGGCAATATAAGCAACCGACCACACTATTAAACTTTTGATCCATGCATGGAAATACTGCATGTGGCATCAACCTATCCTCAGCCACTTCAAACCAGTGAGAAAAGTGAAGATAAAAACACAAAATAGAGAAATCTGCATCAGAAATCTGTTCTAACTTTGACAGAAAATTTTGCGATCACTCACTATAAGAAACTGACTGAGAAATTAGGTTTTTAGTGCCTTTAAATTGTGTCAAAAGTTGTGTTTTCAACCAGTTTTAGCTACTTTTCCACTTTAAAATTCAATTGTTTTATGATATTTTCATTTTATTGACTTGGGAGTTAAGGGAAAAGGTCCACTGTGTAAGTAAAAAGCAGGATGATGAAAGAGTTTTTGATTCATCCACATTCACAACATCTCATGATTTATCATATTTCATTGATTTATCTCCCTCATCTGTCTGAGACGAGATGAAAGGGAAGGAAGAGCTTCCGATCTGACGGGATGGGCACTGACGGCCGCTCTTTTCCTCAGTGACGGTGCTCAAACAGTAAAAACAGATGGAGGTCCTGACACACATTCAGACCTCGGAAAGAAAAAGAGACCAGTAGTTTTCTCCACCCACTCTTTGATACTCAGCTGGCTCTCGGGCCGTAACTTACAAGCGTCTGTGCGTTACAGGGTGATTTATCTGTGGTACTTTTTCTGTTAGTGTTCAAACAACGATGCAATTAGGCTTCATCATGTTGTCGGAGTGGTGCAGAGACATCTCTGAGGCCACTAAAAGGCAGGGTCGACCTCAGCATCTTGGGCTGTCACGTTTGACAAAAGGCTCATGTAATTGTTTCGGCCAAGCCACTGGTTGCACGGTGGTTGTAAATGTCACTGGATACAATCGCAGGGGTTTTTCAGACACAGAGCTGAGGGGGGCCAGAGGTCGAGAGGAGCCTCTGAAGGTGGCAGCTCCTGGTTTAACAGGGCCAGCGAGGTCAGCTCCTTCACAGGCGCTGTTTGGTCTCAGCTCGGGTTTCCTGTTGCCTTTGCCCCCTTGTGTCAGCTGTCCGAGTCGGTACGAACAAAGTGATTGCTGCAACAACTGTCTGGAAAAGCTCTACTGCATATGGATCAGTGTTTACATAAGGGGAGCTCCTCTGCTTACTGTCTGGCTCCTGTAAATCACAGCTATGACCTCTGATGTTGCTGTTTGTTTTAAAGACATTTGATCCAACATGGTGACTGAGAGAGACCCAGTTTCATCAATGATTCCTTTACTGTAATAAGTCATGAAAACGTATGTGACACTAAGGTTTTGGCTTTTAGTCGAGATTAGAAAAGATTGGTACTTTATTTTAATGTTTTTTCATCCCAAACTTATCCAGACATGTTGCTAACTAACGCTGATGCTGCTATATATCTATTTACTGTACTTAACATGTCTGTTCATCGACTCTACTGTACTGTCAGCTTATTAAGTTTATTATTTATGTATAAACTTTATTTAAAGCAGTATTGATTGTTTTTGGCCACTTGAGGGCAGCAGAATATTCTGTAAACACCGACCTTGCAAAGGTAGTAAAGCAAACAGTTTGCTATGCAGACACGTGCACAGGTAAGAATCAACCTCGAAACAAGAACGAGATTTAAATCAGAAAAGTAGAAAAGACAGATGTACACAGACAGGATCATCAGTTATACAGCATCCAGAGACTTTAGAAGGAAAAAAATCCATATGTATATACAAGTGCATTGTAATGCACTGTAATGCACTTATTTTATACTTTATGTGGTTATGATACTACTTACTTAGATAGAAGTTCTATGTAAATCAAAAAAGCTCTTGGCAACAGCCTTCCCTTTTTCCTTTCCAGACAATTTCCCTGACTTTTCTGGGAGGTTGACTCAGTAAAAATAAACATTAAACAGCTTTCTCTTCCAGAGCGATTGCAGCATGAATCTGGAAGAAGCATCGTCTCTGCACGCCAAGTCCTGGCCCGCCGCTGGACGCTCTGAGCATCCACGGTGCTGTTTAAGTACAGGGGACAGTTACCTTTTAGATTTAATGTCATGTGTCCAACCTCCAACCTTTACTCCTCCAAGTCTACATCACAGCCTGTTCACCTCTCGCTGTGGACTGAACCCTGCTTTCTCCGACTGTCTGAACTGTGGAGTGAACTGTGTGACTGTTCTCTGACTTCCATCACCTGAAGGATACGCTGCCATCTGGTGGAAACATCCTGACATTACAGATGTATACACGTTACTTGTGAGGACAATATATAGACTTACACTGCTGGAAAATCACTACAAATATGTACTTTAATGCCAATACTGCACTAGCATAGTATAATACTCTACACTCCACTACATAACAGCAATATTGTACTTTTTTAGTTACCAGTTACTTTGCAGGTGAAGATTTTAAAAACCTATAAGGAGCATATTAAATATAATGCATTGTTATATAGTGAAATAAACCACGCAGCAGTACAAAGTGAATCATTTTACTTGTGCACTACTACTTTATTTTTTCTTGATTATACTTACGTACTTTTATTTTAATTAGTAATATTTTGAATGCAGGGAGTATTTTTAATTGTGTGATTGCTACTTTTACTCAAGTAAACTTCATCCACAACTGAATACGAAGGATCTAACTCCACCACTGCAGCCTCATAAGGGATGAACACAATCTGGTACAGTAAAGATTCAGCACTTTGTTTGCACTGTTGCTAAGATCCTGTTTTTGTTGAATGTCCTACTGAGCTCAGCCCACTTAACTTAATTCTTTTTGTTAAGAAGACTAAAGGCGCTCGTTACCAAGCAGCACCTTTTTATGTGTTGTGTCTGTAATCAACCCTCGTGCCACTGTCTGCTACTCTCTCACTGTGCTCCTGACATAAGAACAAACACTACAACAGGTTCTACCTCAAACTCAGGTCAGGAGATATCAGTTTAAGGTAAGGAGATACCTTACTTGAACAAAATGGCTCCATATACTTCCTTGCATCCCCTGCCTTCAGTCTCCTTTGAAGAAAAAATCCAATTCTCTGCAAGCCAGCGTCTCTCTTTGGCAAGAAGCAAATGGTTCACACTCCCCGTGACGGACAGCCGAAGTGACGCGTGGAGCGTCAAGCCGCCAGATTTCTCTCTGAAACTGTACAAATCTCTGTCAGTTCCTCAAAAGAAAGCGAGAAAGACACATCCAGATCCAGCCGTGGCTCAACCCGGTGACTTAAAGAGGAGAGCTGGAATATTTCTACCAAAGGTTTTACACGAGAGTTACCTAAGAGAAGACCCTCCGCAGTTCATCACGTCATACAGGCCTCCTGATGCTCTGGGATCTGAGCTGATGTTTGTCAAGACAGGGAAGTACCCTTCTGGGCCTTATAGGAACCCCAAACCACATGACTTCAGACCGGTAAGTGTCCTGTACATCGGATAGCTTTAGTTTCTATTCAGATATTTGATTTTTTCATGTTAAATGTTTCTTTATGGGTTGAGAAATGTCTCTTAAATACTGTCATTGGATGAGCAGGAAGATAAAACCATACATTTCTGAGCTCCTGTCAGATATATGATGATCTTATAGAATATGATGCATTTCTGTACATTCAACAGGATATAAAGAAGTTTAAAATGAGCTCAACCTTAAACATCTACAGCAGTTAAATGCAACACATGAATGCAGCAGTAATACTGATCCAAAAACATATATAATAGCAAAACACTGAGAGGGACAATTTTACTGCTACTTTGGCTGATCATAAGTACATATTTTTAAGGTAAAGAAAGGTTTTGAATGCAGGAAAGAGTATTTTCACACTGTGGTACTTTTACTGAAGCAAAGGAACTGAATACTTCTTCCAACACTGGTAGTTTGTAATATCTTCATCGAACCACAAGATGGCGAGAAACACAAAAAAATTGTTTTTATCACTGATTTCAGCTTGATGAAGACCTTCCAGACATAGTTACTACATACGAGAGAGATCCTGGCAACCTGAATTTAAAATTAAAGCACATGGACGTTAGTAAGTGAATTTACTTTATCTTTAGGGGTAATCTTGGCTGAAACTTGTTCTGAATGTTTCCATTTTATATCTAAACTGTGTCACCACCATTAGAAAGAATAAAGGTCTTCTTGTTCATTCAAAATCCAGTTTCTCTACATTTATAAATACTATTGACGGCACAAATAACCGAATTAATTAATATTTTCTTTTCCAGTTCGGACCACTAAATCTGAGTCGGACTTTAGTTCAAGGGACACGAACACAAGAGTGGACACCCATAAACCTGCAGAGCCCCGATGGGATGCGAGGCTCTTACTTCCTCAGCCGCCATGGCCTCCGAAATCTGCCTCATATACCGTCAGTGGCTCTTTGGTGTCATATAAAGAACCACGTCTGCGTTACTGTACTGGAGGATTTTTCATTTTGTGCTTCTTTTTTTTTTTTTCTTTACAAAAATAAAGTAATTTAGAGCTGTAGTCACAGTTTGAATGGAGGATTGTAATAGAATACTTTTATAGTGCTGTTTCTACTCGTAATAAATGATCTGAATACTTCTTCCACCCCTGATTACATGGTACCACAGTATAATGTCCAAAGTATTGTGCTTTTAAACCGTACAGAAAAAAAGTTCATCAAAACAAAGATCTACATGCAGCTAAATAATGACTCCAACCAGGAAATAATGTGGTTTGTGGCACTGAATTAAAGTGAAAGTAAAGTTAGTTTCTACTACCACAAAAGAGAAATATTTGCCTGGAGTTACACTTATTTTAATACTGACACTGAATATCTGTTTCACAGAGACACCGACGAAGAAGAGGAGCGTACAGCGCCTTCTTGGAACGAGTGGAGGAGAAACTCTCGAGATCGTGGAAAAATAGATCCTGACTTTCTCCTTTTTTAAAATTCATTTTTTCTCTTATTATGTGCTTGTTTTGCTTTCTTTAAAGAGTTAAATGTGCACAAATTTAATCTAACAAACTATACTAACAGACGTAAAACAAAATAACCTTGACGAGATAATCAAAACGGCAGATTATCCAACCGATTATTCAGTCTATCTATAGCGATGATGCATGTTTTAGTCTATTTACTGTAATTCAGATCTACTTAACATTAAAGCATATGACTTAGAGCCATTTTCCAAAGAATATTATGTATTATTTATAAATATTAATGTGGTTTTACTATCTTCCAGATGGTTACAGGGTTTGTTTTAGTCTCAATAAAGTTTGAATGAAGCACACATGAACATCCTGTCTACAGTTACAGTTACAGTTACTGTTGTTACCGTTGACTTGTAACACAGCCGACGGTGGAAAGTACAAGTTGGGGGGGATACTCGTCCCAAAGTTTTGTAACAGAACTGATATTTTATTTCTTTCCAACCCCCATTAATCACATCATAACCCCTCCGATTCACCCTGTGGCCCTTCGGAGGGGCCCGGGCCCACATGCTGGGAACCACTGGACTACTACAAAACATAACCGCAGTAACTACGCTAACAGTGAAACTGAGAAAAATGGCTTTAAAGTTCTGGTTTTAGGTTGGATTTTGTAGTTACTACAATTTTTTACATCACGTTTTCTCTAAGATGGAGCAAGACTGAATTTAGAGAATGTCTCACAAGATAAAACAGACATATAAAAGTTCATTTTCAGTCATAACTACATTTTGACCAAAATTGTAGTTACTGCGGTGTTGCTTGGTCGGGAATATGGTTGTATATCAAAAGCTGCGTTGTATTATTAGTACTTTAACTAAAGTAACGGCTCTGAATACTTCCACTGAGCACAGAACGAACAGGAAAGGACTGAATAGATCGGCCATATTTGGAGATTTTTATAGCTTACGGCAGAAGACGTGGAGCGACTGTGGTGTCACGAAGGTCATCGCACCACATTATGACGCCCGCTGGTCCACTGACAGCTGCTCGCTCGGTACGCCAACAATTATAAACACGTTAAGACGGCACATGTTCGACGCATAACTTAACATATGTGTTCAATGAGTCATCTGAGGCTCTGTGCATAACTGGCAGGATATATATATATTTATATATATTTATATACATATATATATATAATTAAACCACATGACCCACAGGCTGCCATGTGTTTTTCTGATCTTAATCCCCTGTTATCGTTTCTAATACTGAACATTGTAATTGAAATAAATTAAAATAAGTTTAAGAGGGAGGTAGTCTCTCCTTCCAGCTTATTGATAATGGCTAATATTATATTTACTACAAATAGACATCTAAAAGGTAGACATATATATTTGGCAGAGGACTATCTAAACAAACAAACAACAAATATGTAAATAAAACATATGAGTCATAAGTCTACTATACGGTATTGGTTTTAAATGGTGTTTTTCATTGAATTTCATACGTTTCTGTGGTTTTTAAGCAGATTTAAGAGATTTTAAGAGTGGTCAATATGACTTAAAATGGACCAAAAGGTAACTTGTTTTATTTCAGTTTAAATGGAAAATATTCCAGGTACCAAATTGAGGAATTAGATGGAAAAAATGGATCATGAATCGGATATAACATTTAAACTCAAATTAAAAATCTGGTGATTATAATTGACTTTAGTTGTTTGTGCTTTGCGATCAGCATTTTAGACGTGAGTTGAAATTATGAATGTAAGAAGAAAAAAAATGGTTGTATTGGCACTTTTACTTAAAGAAAGGACAGACTTGGGTAGTAATAGATTACATGTAACTGAATTATGTAATCGGGATACAAAAAAAAAAGGGTAACTGTAATCCATTAGTTACAGGGGAGGAAAGATGTAATCAGATTACAATTACATTTAGTAAAAATGGGGATTTGAGGTAATATTTAGTAACTATTATATAAGTATTCAGTCTTTAACGGATGTGAACACTCCTTCCACCACTGGTTTATGCCCTGCGTTACATTTCCTGTCTCTCATAAAATAAACACAATAAAAACAAACTGCTGCGACCTACAATGTCAGCTGGACAACAGACACACGTTACATAAGGCGGCGGTGTTTGTTGTCCTCCAATGCTCGGGGTGTGCTGCGGTCAGCGTGGGGCTCTTTCCGGCCTCCGGACCAATCATTTCAAACACAAACACACTGAACGGGGCGGCGCTGCACACACACACACACACACACACACACACACACACACAACACCGACAGAAAAAGGGAAAACACTCTGACACGAGGAGCTGAATCAACGGTAAATTTGAATTTTTTAAATAACTTTTAACGGTTATTAACGTTTTCTAACGGCTGATAACTCATCCGCGAGCTTTCTGAACGTCCGTTAATGGATTAATATTGGCTGTAAAATATAAAAATATAACATTAACTAACCGCATTTACGAGTGAATTATGTTTTTTTTTTTTTAAAGCATTACATTTTTTATTTATTTTTTTATCTGTTAAACCTCATGTTATGTCCGTTATTTTAAATTTGGTGGTACATTAATTTCTAATGAACGTAAAAAAAAAAATAAAAAAAATACACTGTAAAACCAGACAAGTTATTTTAACTCCTAAAAACATAGTTGAAACTGATTGCATCACATTTTTATCAGTAGGTTAATAAAGATTATTGATCAAGCAGATTTTACTACTAATTTCAAGTGGCACTAATTTAGTAAAAAGTTATTCATCAGGAATGTTTCTGTAACTTAAAAAAATAGGTTATTTTGTTTTCACAGTACAAATATTTTTTTTTTTTTACAGAATTTAGTCACTTAAAACTACTAAAGCTACTTGATCAACAACATTTAGTTAAAAACTTAGATTTTTTTTTAAAGTTAAATTAACTATGGTTTTACAGTGTATATTTTCTGAACTATTGAAACAAATATTAAACAAATATAAAACCTTTAAATTAAATGTACCTTTGTCGCCTCTCCGGTCTAAAAAAAAAAAAAACACACTAGGCTACATTAACGTTAAAAACATTGCTGTTATAAAAAGTGTAACAGACAGACGGAGCAACAGGTGATCCTGGTTCCCGGGCAGACGCGTGATTGACAGCCGTGTCGGCCAATCAGCTGGCAGAGAACGGAGCCCACGCACCAATAGCGTGCGCCCGCAGTGTTGGTTGTGGGCGTTGATCCAGGCTGACAGCAGTGTCATCAGCGGTAGCTCCACACTGCTGGGACACCGAGGACAGACAGGGAGGGTTTGTCTCTGTATCCGAGGAAGGTGTGTCTTTTTTTCTTCCCCCCGGTCGTGTTTGTCGACATTAACGGTGGAAATAACACCGTGAGTTGAATTTTTTAAGGCTGTAGAGGCTCGAGAGGACCGCGTTTCTTGTTCAGAGAGGATTTTAGACTGAATGTTTTCTCCACAGATGGCTCAGACTGGTAGGTAACCAGTGTTGGACTGGGCATACCTACAAATGCATGTGTTCACCTGCCGTGTAAAATACTTGTCAGTCTTAAAATGTGATTGCAATCTCGTGTGTGGATAAATACGTTGTCACTGGAAGCTAAACCCTTGTGTTTAATACAATTTAGGTGGTAATATATTAAAATAGCAGGAAGAACTAGCCATTAGGCCCCTATAGGAATGTCACAGTGATAGGATATGAGGTGATTTAACTACATTTAGCACAATAAGGTGGCTGTAAACTCCTTATTATGTGACTTTACGTGTGAAATGAAAGGGATTTTCTGTCACTTTACTTTGGATTAATATATCAGTGATTGACATTGTGATATCAGATGTAGTATGTTGCTTTAAAATCTTTTTCCTGGTCGTAAAGGGTGTTTTATTAGTAAGTGTTGCACAATTGTGGACTCCACATTACTGCACATTGCTCAGAGAAACTGTTGCATGTGTAGATCTTTTGATAGCACCAGAAAACAACCCTCTTCAGTGTCAACATATAAAAACACTACAATATATTCATGTTTTTGCACACTGGTGTAATGATCACTGTTGTTACACTATCACAGAATCCGCCGCGTCAAATGAGCAGAGATCACTTACACGCAGTGAATTTGATCCGTTGTTATTGTGAAGCGAATATACAACACAATCTTCCTTTTACGCCTGAAACGTTGGAAATTCACCACTTGCTCAAAATCAGTGCGCTCAGGTGTTTGCAGCCACAGCCTCACTACAGTAGCTTATGTTAGCAAGCTTCACTTAACTGTAACTCACTTTGTTAGACCTCTTCTGTGTTTGTGCTGCTGTTTTACTACGTTTTAACTCGTTTTAAAGGGAAAGTTAAAGCACCGTTATGTAACCGCTACTTGTGGCCGCAGTAACATGTGCAATTATGCTTTCAGGTAACTGCTGCAGTCGTTTTGGAATATCAGCAGCTCTGAGGATTATTGTTGGACAACTGGATCAAATCTCCCAAATCACCAATCCTTCCTCATGAGGAAAGATGGGGAACGGATTGTCAGAGCAACCTAGCTTCCTCTCAAGCATCCCGTTCTTCCAGTCGTTCCACATCGCCATCCTTGGGCTGGACTCCGCGGGGAAGACCACCGTTCTCTACAGACTGCAGTTCAATGAGTTCGTGAACACGGTGCCCACCAAAGGTTTCAACGCGGAGAAGGTCAAGCTGTCTCTGGGCGGCCACAGGACTGGGACGTTCCACTTCTGGGACGTCGGTGGCCAGGAGAAGCTTCGCCCGCTGTGGAAGTCGTACACGCGATGCACGGACGGCATCATATTCGTGGTGGACTCTGTGGATGCAGAGCGCATGGAGGAGGCCAAGACGGAGCTCCATAAAATCGCAAAGACCTCTGAAAACCAAGGCGTGCCCCTGCTGGTGGTGGCCAACAAGCAGGACTTGAGGCATTCTCTGGGACTTGATGAAATTGAGAAACTGCTGGCGCTGAAAGAACTAGGCCCCGCTACTCCCTGGCACCTGCAGCCAGCCTGCGCCATCATAGGAGATGGGCTCAGGGAGGGCCTGGAGAGACTCCACGACATGATCCTTAAAAGGAGAAAGGTGCTCCGGCAGCAGAGGAAGAAGAGATAAACCCGTCGCGAGAAAGACTTGTCTGCTGTTTTATGTGAAGGAATATTCTCCCGGGTGGATACAGGCCTCCCACTGCAGGTCACACATTCAACGTACTGAGTTTTATCAGTCCAGAACTGAGATTTAGGATTCCCGGTCTTGTGACAATGCCGTTGATCAGGAAGTGATACATAAAGGAGTACAGTATGGAGATTGAGAAAGGTTTCAGACATGTGTGGATATGCTATAAAAGAGTTTTAGAAAGCACTGAGGGTTTGTGGTGTGGAAGGGTGGTAGAAGTTAAGGATGCTGTATGTTTCATGAATGGCTAATGGCTGTTCCAAACAACTACCAAAAATAATTTAAGAAAAGGCTTTGACTAGTTGAAGGGTTTCTTGGTAAACGATTGAACATTGTCACACCGGAGGGGCAATGAAATGTACATCTGTTTTATTTTACTGTTTTATATGTTATTATAACTTGTTCTTTCTTCTTTCTTTTTTTTTACACTGGACTTCCTTTGTCAAAGAAAAGTGTTATCATGCATTATTATGATGTGTTTTGCTGGCTTATATCGCTCATTTCTTTTTTAAAAAAAGCACTTTAGATGATCACTTTGTATGAAGTTTACAGTTTTAAAATAGAGCATATTGTGTTGGAGTTAACAGAAATGTTTGGGCAGAATACAACAGATGCTACTGTAGTTGGTCCACATCGGCCACATTGTCATTAGACAGCTTATGCATTATGTTTTGCTTAATAAAAACATATTTAGAGCAATGTTTACGGTGGTATGGAGGCTGTTATTATGTCCACTGTGTTATTTAAGCTTGTGTTTAAAAAGCAGGTACTCACAGATGTTCAGGATTGTAACCTTCAATTCATTTGGGTGATAGCAGGCTTGAGTTTTAGGCAGCTTGCTTTGAGAGGGATGATTATTGAGTATTATTTTAGCAAGGCACTAAACCACCAGTTCCCTTTAGTGGAGCTGCTGGATTGCTGACGTTAAAGAACTGATCTGTCACATGTGAATGTGATTGAAGGGGTTTTCAAAAACACAAATATTCTGCTCAATCAAGCTAACCTCTAATTATCCCTTTAAAAAAAAAAATTCCTCGGTTTCATTTGGAGCTATAAAGTCTTGGACAATGACTGTACTGACACAGGAACACAACCATTTAAACTGAGATTAAAGTTTGGGGCGTGTGCAGGTGTAGAGCGCTGTATTGTCCGTACTGGAAACTCTGACATGCCTTTATCATGAGTTCTCACCAACTATGACTTGCAGTATTTCCATGTAAAGAGCGGACTACATACGGGCAAGGTAAAGTTGCTGTCAGTATAAGGGTGCAATGTCATACACATAAAGAAGCAAAGCTGGTGCACATCAATGACGCCTCATTTGAACATCCAAAAAAAAAAAACAACACTCCCCACTGTCAGGCTGCTGCAGTGTAAAGGGTAAAGAGATGCACTGATGCGTTGCAGCACAGACAAGCCCGTCCTCAGGACTCAAAATGTAGTCAGGGCAGTCTGGAGGCCAGACCCAGAACAACAGGCTGGGGCAGGAGAATGTGAAGCCAGGGGCCTTACCGAGTATTTTTGGACTGAGCTGGGCGGATATGTAGCCCTGTGTATTAACGCCATTTGCCCTCTCATTCCTTTGAAACAATTAATGACTGTAAGCCCAACAGGCCGGTGCAGCAGCTGGCTTTTTTTTTCTAAAATAACTGTGTGATGCAGATTGGCAGTTTGCACCGCGCTCACAGGCTGAATCACCAAACATCCTCACCATATAAATATCTGCTCCAGTAAAACGTGATAATTGTGACCTTGATGTGTGGCTTCGGCGCTGAATCTCAGGAGGTCTGTTGCATTTTAAAAATAGAGAAGGGGAAAAAAAGAAGAAGCTTAGCACTAGTTTTCACACATTTGTACGACTTAAGGGCTTCAGCTGAATGTGAAACCAGTGGAATACTTTCTGATCTTTTTTTGTGGCTTCATCAGATGAAAAACAGGGGAGTAATTGAAGGAGAGTGAGGAGGAAGGACACACGAGTGTAATTGGCTGGATTTGAACACCCGAGTATAGGTTTCCCAGAATGCCCCATTTGTGTCAAATGTTGATGTTTTTGTGTTGGGAAGCCCAGGTGCCTCTTCCCTACTCTGTTTGCCCAGGAAGGAAACTCAAAGGGCAAAAGTATAATTCACACTTTTCCTGATTGTACTTCCTTCTCTCTGCCAGCCGTGTGTGTGTGTGTGTGTGAGTCAATTCATATGTCCTGTTTTCCCTCCTTGTGTGTACTTCAGGCCAGTTCTTTTGATCTGCTGAAGCACTCACCAGAGGGTTACTGGTCAAATGAAAACCTGTTTTAGGGCTTTATTTTTTGCTGACTTTGTTTATCATGTCTAAAAGAGAAACAGCCATAATCTCTTTACTTGATCATATACAGTATATAACATAATTATCTTGCATGTAGAAGGGGTTCCCTCTGCCCCATCCTGTATCTCAGCCTTCATCCGTTCTGGTCCTTGTAAAAGTCTTCAGTGAAAGTTGGATCAGGGTGAGTAAATCTCTTGTCCAGGGGCCATGCATTAACCCATTAACCTCAGATGGTGTGCTTGGCACGGAAAAACGCTCCAACCCGACGTGAAATAAAAGCCCACTGCTTCCAAGAGCATGTCTTGTTTGGAGCAGCTCATCCATACAAGAATTCCCACCCATTATTGCTTTTTACACTGTATTGAACCATCTCAGCTGCTCTCGCTGAGAGACGCCTGAGGCATGATTGAGCTTGGCAGTTATTTTCAGGTCGGGGCGGCACACAGCTGAACACTGTACAAAATGTTCTATGTTTGGTGAGAACATGTGTGAGATTTTTCTACAACGTATGATAGAGCTGCAAATTGGGAGGAGCAGCTGGGTTTCAGAAGGATTTCTCCGCACTGTAAATTCCCATGTCATGAGTTTCCTTTTAATGATATCCTCAGTGTCCCTCGGTGTTGACACGCCCGTGAGGCCCTCAACATGGGAACGCAAGTTTCTAACAACACTATGGATTTATGTTGTGTTCATCGGCCTTAATTATTTCAACTCAAATTTTGAGAAAATACATTATTTTGATGTAAAAAACTACAATACCCATGAGCCTCAGCCACTGTTGCCGTGGAAGCCAGTTACAAGCTGTAGCAAATTCAGAACGCTTTGTTCATTTGAGGACAAAACAACACAACAATGTTGCTGAATGTAGTTAAACGCTGGCTCCAAATCTGTTGTTTTATTGGATTTTTCTTCCTGAAATTCTTCTTTGGAGTCGTAGTTCACTTCTGTCCTGTTCTTAATGGGCAAAGGATACAAAACCTTTAACTTCTGATATTTTGTAACATGTTTTCGAGTGGGAGAGTTTCAAGCCTTGGAAATACTTCAGATATTGTCGGTGCAAAAGCAAACAAAACAGAAACTGAATGGGATCATTGAACCAATGAACCCTGGATGCCCCAATTACTGTAACTATACTTCAAACTCTTTCAAACCAAAGCCCTTCTTGCATGCTGGCACCTTTTTCAGCTAAAATAACACCATGGGTATATGTTTCATGACTAATATGAAACTAACAACTAAAACAAGTAACGCTGATCTAAATTAATATCAATGTTGAGTAAAATAATATTATGGTCTATCACCAGTCACTCATAAAAAGTAGTTTCACTTTCATTTAAGTTTTTTAAAGGCAAAAACAAAGCAAGAACACCTGCAGCCATTTGTTTGGGCTCGAGAAAGCCTATGATGTTGGGAACCGCCGTTAATTGTGAAGAAGAGGAAGTTCAGCCCAACATGTTCAATAACATGTTCCGTCCATTTAAAGAATTAGTATATATATTTGGATGGATAGTACAATTTGAACTTTTAATAAGTAAAATGGTGATTAATTTGTTAGCACTGAACAACAACATATGCTATGAGTCTCTGCCACAGAGGTGTGAAAGCTAGAGCTGACTTGTTGAATGCTAAAAATAATGTCTTTACACTGGTTTTCTGACTAGAAGCTAATCTGGAAGAAATGTTGTGTCTCTTGAGATGCATTAAAGGGAAATTTAAATGATCCTTGATGGGGAATAAGGTCAAAATAAGAGAGATAAAAGAGAAACTGAACATGGATTTATATGTGTGAGACAAAGCATAAATGCCTGGTGTACACTGTGAACACTCTCCCAGACACAAACAGAAAATTATATGAAGTCTTCTTTTGAAACTGCAAATAAATATATAAGCATGTTTTGGTTTAGTGCCGTTAGTAGAAGGAGGTACTTTTAAAAATGCGTACAACAAAGCCCCTTTTTCTGCATGGCCATGACACAGTAATGTTTGTGTCAAACTGCACAACTTCTCTTTCCCATAAATCCATCTCCAGAGGGTTCACTTATTCTGCTGAGTTCTGAGATTTATCCCATTGTGTGCTTTAAAGGGGGACATTGCAATATATGCATGCTCCTAGCCTGCTTATTATGCAAGGTTATCATGACGGGATTCATTTTTCTTCCCCCAGTCTATTGAGAGCGAGTGGCCTATTTACATGTGAATTCCTCCCGTAGCCCTGCAGCCTCGCTCAAAGTAGCGAACGGGGCCACCTGCAAGGGGAGAGGGGGAAGAGGAGGAGGAGGAGGAGGAGGAAGGAGACGCTGTTTGAGGAGCTAGAGAAGTGCACTCCTGTTTTCTTTGGTGCAGAGAAGAGAAGCTGGTTTCATTAATCTTTAGAATCCATGGAGACAGAGAGTGAGCCGTGGCAAAAACGAACACAGGAAAAACAGACAACGTTTTTTTTAATCAAATGTTTCAGCATTATTAGTGTTGCTGATTTAATATTACAGGTTATCTCCCTCAACAATATGTTTTTACATCACTTAAATGCCACATTTGTCTTGCAGGGAACACAAGGATGCTGTAAATTAAATAAACTTTCTGAAACCGATCTTGCAGGTTTGAACATCTCTCTCAAGCTCTCTCTTTTTTAAATTTCACAACTACTTCCATTAGTACTGATGTGTGCACAATGGATGCCTTTGAGGAGAGGCTGCCTGAATGTGTGCACCATTAAGGGTGTTAAAATACTTCAAACAAACTTCATTTGACCACATCTGAGGGCTTAAAGTATTTATAGCATGTTCTGATCGGCCAGCCATAGTAATCATTCGGATGGCCAACGCTCTTGACAATCTTTCCTCCCAAGGTATTCATGCTAGGAAATATGATATCCTTATACTGCAGGAGAAAAGTCAAAAGGGTGGACAAAGCACAGAACTTTGACACCTGAGATGTTGGTTTGCATCCTGCATCCCATATGTTGTAAGGTTTGGGCTACTAAAACACTTCTAACGTATCCTGTCTCATGCTAAATTTAGGAGAGACAGGAGTGAAATGAAACAGCCTTTCATCTGCATACATGTTTTACTATCCTCGCAAAATCATCCTGCAAAAAATCAGGTTCGAAACAGGCGTAATGTGGACCAAATTGCAGACAGGTGTATTAGTCGTTAACCTATAGACAGAACGTTAACAGATGCTCTCTTCTTCCTACAACGGATTGGATGAATGCACCTCTTTTTTTCCGACTTGAAAACATCTCAGCTGTTCTGAAGATATCAAATTTTACTGCGACTATCCAACTCATGAAAGCACTGTAGTGTGCTATCAAACCAAGCATTGTCTAATGCACACCTGGTAGACAGGTGCATGGAAAAATAGACCCTTCATCAGGCATCAAATTAAAAGTTTCTTTTGCTTAAG